GCTGGGAGACAACCTCCCAGCATCCATCCCGCTGGGATCTGCTTTTCGCAGGGTAACGCTGCGGCGGAGTCACTCTTGTGCAAGCTGTCCCCAATAAGGGACAGCAATCCTGGCAAGTGGGGTCAAGGAGATGATTTGGCTGAAATTTAATGCAAAAACAATAAAAAGAAATGGTTGTGAGCCGGGGAGAGGCTCGGTGCATGCACGGAGAGGAACCCCCCGAGACACGAGTCCCTTTGCCGTGGTGCATCCCGCAGAGATGGGTCCCTCACCCGCTGATGCTGTGGGACACCGCTCGGCTCGGGGACCACTCCGTCCCCCCCAAGCAGGGTGTCCTGGCCGGGCCCAACCTCTGAGCCCGCTGGCCATGGGTTACCCCCCGCCGCCGCTGTCCCCCGAGCCCAGAAAATGAAAAAAGCAATCAGCCCTCCTGCTCCTTCTTTCAAATGAGAAAAGGAACTCAATTAGAGCTCTGCGAGGACAAGGAGGCCATGAATCTGTCTGTACCCTGAGCCATGAGCCTGCACAAAACACTGCTTTTATTAGCATCACGCAGGAGCCATTGCGAAAGCTAAATTAATTTGACTCTCTTCAGCTCAATTGACGTCTGCTCGGCTTAAACGCAAGATGCCAAAGTGTCATTTTGTTGTCTGTGCTGACCCTTAATGATTTTTTATGTCTGTACTGTGGAGCAGAGCTGGTGTAAGAAAGCACCAGGCGGGTCTTTACGTCTGCATTTCCATCCAGAAATCAAGCTGCCGAAGAGGAGCGAGGAACAAGCCACCACTTGAGGACAAGGGACGGCATCAGCTGCGCACCAGACTTCTTAAAAACGGAGAGGAATTTTCCGCAGGTGCCAAAGGGAGTGGGGAGCTGCGGGACCTGGGGGATCGGGACTCTCCCTGGCCGACGAGGAGCAGCCCGGGGGTGGCTCCCCGTTGTCCCCGCAGCAGCGAGGAGGCCAGCGTCCGCTTCTTCTTCTGGGCTGTCTCCCTTAAAAAGAAAAACCCAAAGGGTCCAGGCGATACGGGATGGTTTCGATGGGAAATGATGGCACCGCAATGCAGTGGTTTTGGGAAAATGGGCATTTTTGGAGAGTAGAGAAGAAAGGAGGAGGGCTTCCCTCTTGCTTGTTCCTTTTCTAGCTTGCTTGGAACATCTCGTCCGGATCTGTGTGCTGTCAGCAAGGAGAGAGCCCTCATTTTTTGGCGGCTTTGGCCTCCTGGCTGAGCCCGAGTGCTTTGGCCATGGCTCTGCCAGGGGCCATGAAAGCCCCAGAACCCCATTCATGGGGGTCAGCAAATGTGGGCAACATTTGGGGACTGCAAGCCTGCAAAGGCGGGTCATGCGATGTGCATCCCTGCGGAGCACATCTGGGATTGCTGGTCCGGTCCTTTGGGAGGCTGGAAGGAAAGCAGAGCCCTGGGAAGAAGGGGAGGGCCAGGCGGGAGGCAGCTGCCTTGCCGAGGCGACTACAAGAAGGACATTGAGGTGCTGGAGCGTGTCCAGAGAAGGGCAACGAAGCTGGTGAAGGGCCTGGAGCACAAGTCTGATGAGGAGCGGCTGAGGGAACTGGGGCTGTTTAGCCTGGAGAAGAGGAGGCTGAGGGGAGACCTCATCGCGCTCTACAACTCCCTGAAAGGAGGTTGTAGCGAGGTGGGGGTCGGTCTCTTCTCCCAAGTAACAAGCGATAGGACGAGAGGAACTGGCCTCAAGTTGTGCCAGGGGAGGGTTAGACTGGACATTAGGAAAAATTTCTTCATGGAAAGGGTTGTCAAGACTCGGAACAGGCTGCCCAGTGAAGTGGTTGAGACTCCATCCCTGGAAGTATTTAAAAGACGTGTAGATGAGGCGCTTAGGGACATGGTTTAGTGGGCATGGTGGGGTTGGGTTGACAGTTGGACTCGATGATCTTAGAGGTCTTTTCCAACCTTAATGATTCTATGATTCTATGACTGCGTTTCTGGGCAGAGGACGGGCAGCGAGCCCATCTCCCCGGGTTCCAGGAGGGCGTGCGGGGCGATAGCTATTAAACCGGATTAAATGGATGAGGGAAGGAAGTGACTTAAGGCAAGATGGCACGGCTGGGCTCCCAAACCAGCTTTGCAGCGGTGCCAGGGCTTACCTCGGCATCAGATGTCGGAGCTGATGGCAATTCCCCACAGCTCGAGTGCAGGGAAAAGAGGAGAAACATTTGGCTTTACCGTAGCTGCCTTCTGCTTTCGCAGCTCATTTCGGATCTCTGCATCCCCACATATTAATGTGAAACCTTTCCAGCTCCTCTGGGTCCCTCTGGTCACCCCATGTCTCCCATTTCC